CGACATTGTGTGATACTCGATTCTGATTGGCTGAGAGCTCATCAAAACCGCACTTAAAAATGGCAGTTTAAGACCGCTAATTAAAGTGACCGATTCACCGCGTATGAATACAACGAACTCGTTGACCCTATTGTTTGTAAACAAACATGTAGGACATCGGCAATTTCTATCTTGGCAGCATCTTTGGTGTTTTTTAAGTAAAAAGCGAATGGTTTGAAGAAGAATTTCTTGACCCTAATCCCAGTGAAGAAACTACGAAACTGAAAAATCTGTCAGCAGCGCAAAAGCGGCAGTATCCTATTCAAACCGGGTCAAGATCTACGTGTGTTGACGTCGACCCACACGTCCTAACCTGACCCATTCTGTCCCGGACGTAATGCCCAGTCCTTCCACTTCCATTGTCCATGTATCCCACATAAAACCTGGCATGTCAGGTCTTTTCCAAATTGGGAATAGTAGGGTGGTTATCAACAATTATTTTCGTGAATAAAGTTGCTGGCGACTAAACTTAGTTCAGGGCTTGAATTGGGGCGAGTCGATTGTCGTACAGTAGGGGAGATCAATAATTCGCTTGAGAAAAATCAAATAATTGTACTTGCTCACAGTATAAACTGTATTTTATTTATTTATGTGTGCTAATTGTTACAAATACAAGCATACTGGTTCCTGAAATAAAGCATTTATGTTGCTGAAAATGTCCTATTTTGTTCATTACACAACCTGTCAATCAATGGGACGATTCCAAGCAATTTCCAAAAAAGTCCCCTTCACGCCTTGTGCGCCAGACAGTTCGGGTTTAAAACGCTTGTCAGTCGTGCTAGAATGAAGATAAACCTACACTGGATGCGTTAGCATGAGGTTTTAAATTAAACATTTAGCGGTCTTAAATTAACGATAAAGGACCACAAAATTGAAAACAGTAGTTTTATCTTCTAATTTCACCTCACCTCACGCTATGGTTATGATTTTCAAATATTGTCCCATAAAATTTATCACAACCACATAAATGCATGATATATTTGGATGGGTTCATTGTTATTTTATGATTAACTTCATTACAATATGTGATAATCGTTCTTCAAATCATTCTTTGTCTCAACAAATAATTCAAGGAATCTTTTAATCCTGTGGTCGTATGCACATGTCAGGCGTGGCTAACATCAGGCGTAACACACTACGTCGGGCTTAGCAGCGCCCTCCTCTTACACGTCATGCACAACGTCGGTTAGCCTAGGCGTTACTATTTTTAGATTTTCTAACGTTTTTAAACCACCGGTAAAAGGCGCGAAACAACTTCTCGGTACATCAGTTTCAGTCGTAATCATGGAAAGCCAAAACCCCTAGAAAACCCAACTTTACCGATGGATCCTGATGGAGAAATAACACGGATTTTCATGTCGCCATTTTTGACACATTACGAAAATCACGATTCACAGCGTTATTTGGTGTATGTTTTTAAATGTTCAAAACGGATATAAATTACTACTCAGAGGTAATGAATTTAAAAAACAGCATATTAATGATCACTGATATCAGGTTTTCATGAAATCAGGAGATAAACATTCTGTGTTTGGAAATTAGATGAATGTTAGACCGAATTGATAGTCTCTAAATTAATCATTTGAAACCTCACTACTGTTTATTCAATGCAATAATGTAACACCTAAGAGCTTGGTTTTTATAATCATAACTCCACACGACCGAAACCAGCCTTTTGTTACTGTACCCCCCTGTGGCCGTATGCATATGTCGGGCGTAAAATCTAGTCCGGGCGTAAGTAAAATGTGCGCCCGGACATAACGTAAACCGGTATGCACATATTAGACGTAGTTAAAGTTACGCCAGTCGTAGCGCTCTATATTTACGCCACCTACCCAGCAGGCACTGGATGCCGAGGGGTTTTTTTCAGCCGCACATTTTCAAAAGGTTTGAAAAGTGAACGTAGTGCGAGAATTGCGCTCCTGTGGTCCTGGATCTGCGTACGGCTATAAAATTACACAGAAATGTAGAATATTTAATTTCCTATCTGTTTGTATAAATATAAGAGCGACTACCTCGGCGGTTTTAGAAATAGACACTGCTAAATGTTGTCCAAAATTGTTACGCGTTTAAAAAATGTCAATTTATCAGCTTTTGTCGCGGCAATCGATAAAAGCACTCTGCTATGATTTTTAAATTTGGCATCTTTACAGAAAGTGTGAAAATACAGCCTGATATCTGAACGACATAATGAATTGAAAATACAGCCTGATATCTGATCCACAACGACATAAGTGTATATGAATTGGGTTTATGTGCTAATGCATAGCGTTACATGAAGACGTTCAACATTAAAATGACTCTTCATTATCCACAACAACTTTTCTCCAATTATTGTGATCTGAGTTTACATTGACCTAGATGTTAAGCACAGCCGAGTTATGCCCCCATTATCTTTATGCGCGTACCTTAAATGACCTCTCTGTTGTCACACACATACTACATTTGGTTTCCCTATCTATAACAGTTACTGAGAAAATCTGTCCCCATTGGGAATAACATGCACTAAGTCAAGAAATGCATGATAAGGACCATAATTCTGTAAAGAATTGTAACATGTTTTCCGTTTTTGATCTCCATCAAGGCATTCATTGTCCTGAAAACACATATCAAGTTTAACTTCCCTATCTATACTAGCCACATAAAGAAACTGTGCATTGTCAAAATATTAACCCAGTTGATAAGTACGATAACAATGTCAAAGGTACATATAAAGTTTAATGGAGGGATCATGAGACCATAACAAGTCCGCAAGTCAGGAGAATTTCAATTGAAAAGTCAATCACAATGACGTCACGAGTCCACAAGCGGGACAGAGGTCAAACGAGCATGTCACAAGCTCAATAACGGGTATGTCCACCATCGGCATTGAGAACAGCAGTGCATCGACAACGCATAGAGCTTATCAAACGTGCAAGGAAGGCTTGTGGGATGTCACGCCAGATTCTCTCAAGTTCTGTTGCAAGGTCAAGGAAGTTATCTGGCGGATGAGGAAGACGGCGTAGACGTCGATCCATCTCGTCCCAAACATGCTCTATCAGGGAGAGATCCGGTGAATTTGCAGGCCAAGGCAGTAAGTCAGCGTTGTGGTGTTGCAAGAAATCCATAGCAACCCTTGCCGTATGAGGGTGGGCATTGTCCTGTTGGAATGTTAAACCATGACATTGCAGAATAGGAATTGCCACAGGTCGAAGAATCTGATCCCTGTAGCCCACACCAGTTAAGTTGCCCTGAACAATCAGCAAAGGAGTTCTTTGGCGTCCTGTTATTCCACCCCAAATCATCACGGAACCACCACCAAAGCGATTCCTCTCCAAGACACAGGCCTGTGCATAACGTTCTCCCACGCATCTATAGGCACGTTGACGTCCATCACTATGGGAAATGGTAAACCTGGACTCATCTGTAAAAACAACATTTCTCCACCAAAACAAGGATCTGCAGACATGATTTCGGCACCACATTCGGCCGGCTTGTCGATGACGTTGTGTTGGATAGGCCGTATGGCGGGACGTCGTGGTCTGATCCTGTGATGACGTAAACATTGTCGAACTGTGTTGGGATGGATGCGGCAAAGTCCTGGGATGGGTCGGGCAGTCATCACTGCAGTCTGAAACCTGTGGCGAAGATGGGTCACCCGTATCCATCTGTCCTGCCTTGGCGTTGTAACACGTGGACGTCCAGAACGTGGCCGATAGATGACGTCATTTGTGTTCTGGTAGCGTCTCACCAGTGCAGAAATGGTGTTCCGGTGGCAGTGGAAATGTGCAGCCACTTGTCGTTGAGACATTCCCCCACGGACCATCCCAATGGCCTCATGACGTTGTGCAGATGTGAGCCTTGGCATGCTATGCGTTTCCATAGCCGTATAATTTTCTGAACGATCGCAAGGCAGGGGTTGAGCTTTCCAAAGTGACAGTATTGTGTGGCATTCATTTGCTCTGTTTCTCTTTCCCGGAATGCACGTGCAACAACGTATTGCACGTCTCAAGGACGAACCCACTGACGTCACGGAACGTGGCACGTGCATGCATGTTGGATACATGTCACTAATCTCTGAGTTTAAATCCTTACGTGTCTACACAGGTTTGATCAATTTAGATTTAAAATTTTTGTATGCACAGTTTCTTTATTGGCCTAGTATCTAACGGTTTCTGAGAAAATCTGTCCCCATGGGGGATGTTGTGCACAAAGTCAAGAAACCCATGACAAGGGCCATAACTTTGTAACAAATTGTAACATGGTTTCTGTTTTCAAACTTTATCAAGGCATTCATGTCCTGAAAACACATACCAAATTTGGTTTCTCTATCTATAACAGTTTTGGGGAAAATCTGTCCCCATCATCTCGGACAGACAGAGCTCAAACCAATATCCCCCTCCTTTATGAATACACAATGCCATTTAGAAAGAGGTCAAATGTAACACATGCTATATTTGGGATTCTCAGTAAAATAAAGATTCTTGTACTTTTGCTGGGCTAAGTCCCATCTGGGATTTGAACTCACAATCTCAGAGTCAGCCATGTAACCCACAAACCCATTGCGGCACCACGGGTTTGAGTGTGGGTTCGAATCCCAGATGGGACTCAACTCAACAAAAGTACTAGAATCTGTACTTCACTGAGAAAGTTTATCTCAAATATAGCATGTGTTACAAATGCTCCATTAAGTTTCGAACTATACAACAATGTGCACCAACACTTGAAACCTTCACAATGTTAATCGGTTAAATGTACTGTCTCACTGTACTGAATTCACCACATACATCACATATCAAGCAGGAGTAGCTTAGATTAAAAGGAAAGCATATGAACAGAACTATCATTACCTAACTACTAGTATATCATCGCTCTCACCAGGTGTCTTGCTGTAAAACTTCAAAGCTAGATATCTGCATTTACACAGTGTCACACAGTGTCTTGAGTTTTGCTTTCAGCAGTGATAAATAGAAACACATTTATTGTATAGACACAATTTATTTGGCATAAATATATATTTTCCACTAAAAGTATACAATTCACTTTCAAATATGTCATCTACAGATGATTATGCAATTTCATTTTACCTTTTAATAAACACATTTAGGAAATATTGCAAATTCAGTATGTACAAGGACAACATGAAGACAAACATCCACATGTGCTCCAGAGAAGAGAACAATTAAATTACAATGAAAACATGTGAATGTTGGCACTTTACACTGGGGATAGAAAAGTATGCAGAACTTCATTTTAATACAAACAGGTAACATAAATACTGTACAGAAGGCAATGTCTCTGGAAGAAATATCACACTTAGGAGGGGATGATATGAATGGAATGATTCAATCACTGACATGTCTTAAGCGGGATAATAACAATTGGAATGCCAATGCTTAAATGTTATCAGTTGTCAATACTGTTCAATACTAAGAGCAAATCTCTCATGGGTCTGGACATTGATTTATAATTTCACATTTGTCCTTGCAAACAACACCTGCTTATAAAAACATAAAAGTACTGTTAAAACCATCAGCCAGTTAAATAGGTAGGTTTCCAGTCAGACAAAATTTTAGAGAAGCCTAAATTAAGATCATATTATTTATGAAAATAATGGTTGAAAATTAAAGTCTCGAATGAAAGTAGTACTTGTATAAACATTAAACCCATGAAATCATTTCCTCAAAAGTAGCCCTGCTAAACTTGGCCAAGCAACAGTCTAATCATCTTCCTCCTCATCCTCCTCTGCTTCTTCCATCTCCTCTGCTGCTTCTGCAGCCTCCTGCTGGGCTGCCCGCAGTGCTGCTTCCTCCTCTGGGGTGGGGTCCTCAGCCTCAGTGATCTCAGGGCCGCTAGGGAACTCCTCCTGAACTGCAGGTGGGGGAGGAGGGCTGTAATTGTCCTGGGCATACTTGTGGCCATGCCCAATGTACACATTCTCAAATTTCCTGGAAATAATTCAGGAGATTACATGGTATTTGGAAAAAAGTAATATAATTCTACATAATTTAGTGATACTACATATACATTTTCTTGCATGTTAAAATATCTCACCAGTGCAAGAATACTGTGCATTAAATGGAGATGTAATAATTTGTTAGGAATGAATGAATATATAGAGATTTTACAAATACATCAGTGGTATTATTATACCAAAACACTGTTACATTACAACCAAGTGTATTCAGTGATAACATTACAAGGTAGAAAGTTTAGAAAATGATGCTCACTTCTCAAAGGCAAATGCATGAGCTCCAGGCCATAGGTTTGAGTGCATGACGCTGATGGAGTACTGGGGGGATGAGGTTGGAGGACAGACGAGGGGTCCAGGGGGACATGCCAGCGATCTCTTCATCCTCAGCCAGAGGGGTTAAGAGTGGAGGTCCGACCTCAGGTTCAGGCTCATCGGGCTCTTCACGCTCCTCCTCCTCATCTTCATCCTCAAAATCATCCTCTGATTTCTGAACCGGGTTCCACCATGTGCATCGACCCTACACAGAAGACACATATCAGCAAAAGCCACAAACATTACTAACATAAATATAACATTTCTGAATAATTCCGACCGCCGCCATATAGCTGGAATAGTGCTGAGTGCGGCGTAAAACTAAACTCACTCACTCTGAATAATTCCAACAGTACATGTATATGCAAATTTGTCATGTCCTTACCATACAAGACATGGTGTGACTGAAATGAAAGACAAACAATACATCTGTTAGTACCTGTGGCAGAATGTGTTGTACGTGATGCACCCAGTTGGACAAATTGGCATCAATTAACTCGCGGACAGGAATTCCCTCAAAATCCACATTCTCAACAAAGTGGTCACGGGCTGCAGAGAAACATTAATGGTGTGAGTACATGCTACACACTGACAACAGACATGTTCATTTAATTGAAGCATAGACCCAGAATACAGGTAGAAAGAAAAGATAATGAATCACAAAGACCAACAAAGTTAATTCCTCTGATGCATAAGTATCTTCCAGTATAAAATGAATCTGCATTACCATTATGCAACATACTTTTGTGCAACAAAAACAATTAAAATGTTATACAGATCAAGAATTACACAAAGAGTTAACCAGTTATCATTATACACTAATATGCAAATAACCAGAATGTGCTGTGCCCTCATGCTTTCAAGCTCCCTTTATCACATGCAGAATAAACTGTAATGACTACTGACAGTTTCCCTCACCCTCTCCTTCCTCCTCCTCTTCTTCATCTTCATCAAACTGGTAGAAGCCAAGGGGTGAGATGTGGGTTCCAGCTGAGATCCTGGCAATCTGGGCTCTTAGGTAGTTGGCCTCATTACCAGGGAAAGGAGGATAGCTTACAACCTAGGAGAAAATATGACTGTCTTACTTGTTTCAGTACAACAAACCAGAATACTTCAAATACTCTTACTTATTTATATATATATCTAGAATGAAATGAATGATGATTATCTCATCAAACTTGCAGACTTATTCTTTGGTACTAACCGGGGCATCCAGCCTTCCTGTGAAGAATTTCTTGATCTTTCTGCCTGAGGTGATCTGAGCTGGCGTCACAGCGGGAAGCTTAATCCAGGATTTGCCGGCTAAACACAGAGTGATCATAGAACAATCAAAAACATATCCTGTCCCCAAGTACAAATCATGAATGTTTTACAAGGTCCAATGACTATTAATAGTTTGACATACCTATCACAGGTTTCTAGACACACTTACAAGATATGACTGTAGCTCTATTGTATCATAATTCTCCTCATACAAAAGATTGAATTAGTTCTAGTGCCATGATCACTTTGTGCAAAGTGGGGTCATACATAACATGAAAGGTTCTATAAGTATGTTTGAATGGAAAATTGAAAGAGAAAACTTACGATCATTGCAGACAAAGTATGTCTTCTTATTGACTCCTGTCCTATTCTCTTCTCTGGGTGCAACTGGTGGGGGTTTGAACTCTGGTTTAGGGAGGTCATCTTCTTCTGTCTCCTCTGAAATATACAAAGCAAAAGAAACATTCACCTTGTAGTTTAGAAAACTATTATTTGAACTAATACTTTTGACCATTAATCTTAAGATTGCTAAACATCAACAAAGTATTTCCTAATCTAAAGGACATGTGACATTTACCTTCCTCTCCCTCATCAGCATCGTCCTTCTCTGTAGCATCTTCCTCATTCTGCTCCTCCTGAAAGACAAACACTGGGCATTAAAGATAATAGCAACAATGTGGTATTAATAAAATAATCCTTTCATAAAGTGTAATTTGACCAACAGATTCCCCTAATGTCTAAACCATGCATGTTTATATATCAAATGCTAAGAGTGTGAGTTTTCCTAATACTCTTGGACATTGTGTGTATATATAACAGTACTGGCCCACATGGAAAATTCAAATTATTCTCTAACACAATATACAAGATTAGATTAGAAAAGTTTAATAACCATGGACATAAAAAAGACTAACTTCTATTTACAAACTGATGAAAGCTTGTTTGACAATATTCCAACCAATCTATCATTGGATTCTCAAACTTACTTCTTCCTCCTCCTCTTCTTCCTCATCTCCTTCCCTGTACTCAACCTCAGCAACATAGTAGTTTTGTTCACGACCAAAGATCTTGCCCCAGAATCTGACATGCTGGAGAGGATGGTTGTCCACCAGATTCTTGAGAGCCAGCCAGATGCGGATCATCTCTTCCCTGTTGAGTCCAATCCCAGCCTGCTCGAAGTAGAAGCACAGCTCCATGAGGTTGGGGAGGGGGGAGTCTCCACCTCTTCATCTTGCTGGTTGTCTTCATCATCACCATCACCTTTCTGCAAAATAAAAATCCCATATTTCTGAACACTAAACACATTTATCATTATTTGTTGCAATGAATCATGGCTGTTTGTAACAGATACCTTTAGTGGGTGCCCCATGTCCAATGTGTCTATTCTAATTTTGGTGCTTTTTCTTTTCAAGTATCTGTCAACCCACTACTTACTGTGAAGAGTCTCCTCTGAACTTGTGCAAGTGCCACCTCTGTTGATCTGTCTACTTTGTCAAGGACTGTATCAGCATCTGATGTGAATTTTGATCTTTTGACATCTTTGCTAATATCTTCAAACACATCTGCTACATTGTCCGGCCTTTCATCAAGAACCTTTGTCAACACCCTTGACAAGTGATCATACCTACAGCAAGGAAACAAACACACATGAGGAAACAGAGTGAACATTTGAAATTTGTTTTTGATATGTTTCACACACTTCTGAGACAAGGCATTTTGTCATTTGGATGCAGCTATGAACTTGATCAATAGATGATTTCATGTGCTGGGATAAAGCAGAAAATAACAAAAGTTCGGAAAGTGACAGTTGGAATGAATTTCCTAATCATGCAACCTTGAAATGTTAGGTATTCCAAAGGACAATTACAGGCTGTACAACTGTTTCTGTCAAAACCAAAACATTTTCAAAGCTTTGTCTGAAATGAAAGTTGCCAGTCTGAAACTAGTGCAGCATAGCTGCTTCCTGTTTGAATATTGTCAACTTCTTGCTTTTCTTTTAATTGTTCAACCAAAGTTCATAAAAGATTGTTCTGGCAAGATATTGTCCTCATATTTTTTTTTTAGCAGAAGGAAGAACTGAGACTGGTAGAAAGGTGTGACGTGTAAAGATAAATACATAGATGACACATTTAAATGCAAATCATGTTAAGAATTCGCTTGTTTTTCTGACTTACTATCATCTTATGGGAGAAAGTAGTTAAACTAGGTAAAGTTGACACAAATCTTTACATCCATTATGTATAGTGCTGGGACTAGTCAAATTCCTACAGGCTACAAATAGTTAAACATTATAAAATTTTAGCATGTAGTGCATGTTGAACATCAGTTGCAAGGCTATCTGTTCAGTGTTTCATGTAATATACAGTAGATCAAAACATTTTTCTTACTTCCTCCATCCTGGATTTTCAGCATTGACAAATATGAAATATACTATTTTTCAACATTTCATTTACCAACCACATCCCAATGAAATGTTACATGTAAATGTACAATTTTGCACTGAAATCTGCTAGTATAAATAAAAGTGTTAGCCTACCATTTGTTTGCAGGGACAGAAAAGACAGACATGAAGTATGTTCATGTGAGAATGTATAAAATTACTGACATCCCATAAAAAAGCTTGAAACTTATAACCTTCCACTTTAACTTTGTGACCTAAACTGCTGTGAGATCTGTTCTCAACCTGTGAGTGACAGACCAAACCTTGTAACAATCAAACATGATCCTAATGTGGGTCCATATGTGCATTACAAAATTTTTGGGTTTCCTTTTGTTCATACCTTTGATGCATAGCATTAACACCAACATCCCATACCCAACCCCACTCTAACCTCACAAGTTAATTATCATCAACAAAACTTCACATGTAATCCTACAGTAAAGATTGGCTGTTAAAAACAAACACAATTACAGGTAAACAATTTGATAAAGAAAAATACATTATCAAAACATTTTGCTGTACTAAAATGACAATGACAATACTTTATTACCCGTGAGGGAATTCTTGTGTAAAGTACAAAGCTCAAACATTGATAAAATGATTAAATTATTTGCATACAATAAATAACAGACAAATAACACGCTAACAAGGTAAGACAAACACTAGGAATCATTTAAAAGATTAATACTGGCAGGAACAAATGATTTCATGGCACTATTGGATTTAAAACAGGGTAAATTATAACGGGGCCCAGAAGGCAGTAATTTATATTCATAGTGGATTGGATGTTCTGGATCAGATATAATCTTACGGGCTGACTTGAGAACTCATTCTTCATATATTTCATTTAGGTTAGCAAAAGATACACCTGCAATTTTACTGGCTAATAAAACTATTCTGGTGAGACAGTTTCTGTTTTTAAGGGACAAGGTTCCATACCAGCATTGTACAGAGAAAGCCAGAACGCTCTGTATTAAGTACTGATAGAAAAGACACATAATTGATTGATTAACATTGAAAGATCCCAATTTGCGCAAGAAGTGTAACCTTTGTTGACACTTACTGAATATAGCATCTGTGACAAAATGACAAAATGTGCAAAATGACAGAATAGCGTTCGGTGAAAACATAGACACATGCATCTGTACATATTGAATGCACACCATTGGAAGTGCAATCCATAATAAAATTACGAAAACATAATAAAGTGTTAAAACTTACACATTTACTCCTGTGTCTGTGCTCGCCGTGAGTAAATAAGATTTTGCTTTGAGAAATTCTTGTTCCTTCGGGTTCAAATTCAACTCCATGTTGACCGGAGTCTGTGGCTTCGAATCTTTCGGTGTGGAGGACATTGTGCCTTCTTGCGAGGAAACTAACCTTTCCTCGGGGTTATGTGCTGACTACCCTGTTGTTGTCAGGGATACTGTGCTCGTTGCTAAAAACCTTGCGCCGAACCAAACCAAACGCCAGCTCAAGTTGATCAAATGCGAAGTTGCTACGGTAAACAGTCAAACATTGCGTTTTACGTCATATCCGGGTACCGACCACCAAAATGATGACGTTTCAAACAGCGGCGTTTCGGTATTTCCGGTTTCTCCACCAGTGTTTACAATCTTATGTGTCTGAATCTGGCCAAATATTTTGTGCTTCGTTCGCAGTTAATAGCTACATCTGTAACAGAATGAAGGATACTATTTGTCGAAAATCAATGGAGATTTGTGCCCAAAGAATTGCACGATCCATAATTAATTAGTGGAATAGACTGCTCAAAAGTCTGCGACCTCTGGCTCGCTTTCACTGATGTGTTTTTTTCACCACTCGCTTTGTGTATTTCATTTTAGGATGCCTATGTTATTCCGACAGCTACCTAAGGGATGACAGTGACATTTTGGCATGCCTGATGAAGCATATTGTGATGCCCATATGTGATTTCTTTCATGTTGTGTTTTCATTTGACTTCTGCCTGGGAAATCAAATTTAAGAACCACAAAGGTTTATGCATTCCATTTATTTAATTATTGTTAGATTTAAATAATATATAATTATGGACAAACGAAGAGTGTTATCAAAGAAAAAGGACTCAGGCTTGAATGAGGGTATAGCAGGCAGATATGTGAAAAGAGACACTCCGCCTATTCTACGAAGTAAGCATTATATTTAATACTTTTCATAATTACATTTGACTTTGCCCCTGAAAGCCATTTCTGTATAAAAATATCATCTTGAAAAAAGATTTGTGAGATGGTAATAAGACGTTGGCATTCATTTCTAGGTCAGTGCTGTAAAACTAACAAATATTTATGATTCTAGGGAGAAAGGATGTGAAAAGAGTGGGATATGCCACATCATATCTAAAATAGGTTAGTTTAAGCTCTCCCGCATTAGCCTAACTAACAGTGCTAATGAAGCATTCAACAAAACAATGATGCGAAATGCTTTTGTAACAATCTCAACAGATAAATTATGAAATGGAATGCAAATACAGTGAGCCATTATTGTCCCGTTGTTTTGAAGACTTCCTGTTCCAAGTTATGTTGATTGCTATGATTGCATCAACTAAACGAAAAGTTATTTTGACATTTATACAAATCACCAAGAATGTAAATGCTTTCTGTAACAACAATGGAGGAATTATAACATGACTATGATAATTCAGTAAAGCTTTGGTCTATACATCTATGGGTTGAAATAGTTAAACAAAAACCTTATGAAGGTCTTAGTCTGAAATAACTGTGAGCAAAACACATGTAGTCATTGACAGTTGACTTGCTTATGGTATTAAAATTTACATACCATTATTGAAACATGTAACGATCATGCTAGTTGAAAAGTAGAAAGTGACATATTTTTACATCCTTAGTTTCTACCATATTACATTGTCAACCCATATAACAACATCCCCTGTACACGTGCACAAAAACACAGATGCACACCTAAATGCACCTGACCACCTGTTTCGTCGACATCTACCTGCATTGAGTACACAAGCAATTAACTATGACTCTTAATTAGCTAATCAAGCTACTGTTTTAGCTCTTGCTTTCAACCAGGTTCTTTCCACATGAATGATTTAATGACTAAATAGTCACAACATAAATTAATTTAATTGTCCCAATTCCAATTAATTATCTGTTATTTGTAGTATGAAGTCTTCCTGAACAGAATAACAAGTCTATCATTGAAATAGCAGATTTGACAGCCACACCACTATGATTCCAATAGTTTACTATGCCATTTCAACATAGCAAAACGTTTCCCACATTATGTCTATGCCTAAATCAGTACTTCTTGAGATGGATATGGAGAAACTATTTAGCATGTTCGATTACATATAAATATTTGTTGATAGAAAGAAGAGCAGCTGAATCCTAACCTAAGCACCTATTTCTATATCAAGATCATTCAGGACATTATTACAATATAGGTTTAATTTTGAAACAATACAAATAATGGATAGAAGCACATTCAATACAATATCTGAAAAAGTTTCTTCACTGTAGACACAATCTTCTGTGGAGAGTGGAAGTGACTGAAAGAGTATGATAAAAGTTTCAGTCTCCAATGTCAAATAGCTAACACAGTTTCAAAGTATACCATAGTCATTTCAGACTGATGAATTGCTCACTAACACAAAATCTAATAATAATTGCAACAAAATCAAATTTTGCAGTTACATGAAAACGGCAGTCCAACTCTGATGATTTGTCTCATAATTTTGGACACCCGAATAAATAAAGTTGTTTCACAAACGATCATTATTTTGTTGGCGCTCTTCGCTATTTTTTATGAGGGGAGAACCACTTGGTGGTAGAGCAGCCAGGTGTGTGAGTTGCACATGTGAAATTGAAATTTCTCTACACACGCTTATTGCTTACCTGGCTGTTCTACCAGCAAGTGGTCCCCCCTCGTAAAAAATAGTGAAGAGTGAGGTGAGGTGAGGTGAAATTGTGAGGTGTACTTGACAATATTTCGCTCATATGACGACGTGCATGCGTGTGTATGTGTATGTGCGGCTGCTTGTACTAGCCCAGACTTAAGCTGGTTTTATACTGCTAGCCCACTGAGATACGATGCCGCAGTAAAGCATGAATACCCCACTCAGACACATTATACTGACTCTGAGCCGACCAGTCCTTGTTGTACCCATTAATGCCGAACGCCAGGCAGGGACCAACAAGTACCATATTTTAACGTCTTTTGGTATGACGTCTTTAGAGTGTCGCTCGAAGGCGATTGGAGTTGATCCCGACGGCGTCATACCAAAGACGTTAAAATATGGTACTTCCCTGCCTGGCTCAGGGCATTAATGGGTACAACAAGTACCATATTTTAACGTCTTTTGGTATGACGCGGTCGGGATCTGAACCCGCAACCTTCCGCTCTCCGAGCGGACACTCTAACCACTACACCACGGAGGCGGTCAGTGAAGAGTGACAACAAAATAATGATCAAATGAAATGAAACAGACTTTAGTAGCTTATGCATAATTCTGTAAATTACTTTTTTTACAAGCTTAAGCATTAAGGTCACAACCTCATCACTGATAGACATGTTATAGTAACTTCTTTGAGTAGGATTATAGTAGACCACATCTTAGTTGGATTAGTTTGATTCCCATGCTGCTTTGTAAATTGGTATTGGCCTAATCATAATCAGAGAACTGAGACAGGTTGTTATTAATTCCCATACTTAATTCCAGACTGGTATTGACTCTATGGTGAGCCTAAAGTAGATTATTCTGATTCCCATGGTGAATTTGAAACTACTATTGGTCTTGTGGTACATCTGAAAAAGAGTATTATTACTTCCCTAATGAATTCCCAACTGGTATTGGCCTAACGATAGACCTGAGATAGATTGTTCTTAATTCCCGACTGGTATTGACCCAAATTAGACCCAAAATTTATTTTAATTCTTATATTGAAATCCCAACCACTTATGGCCTAATGGTCATAATGTTAGATATACTGAGACACATGTGACTTATCACAGACTGCCAAGAGAACTAATTAATCTTCTATGATTAAATATTCTTACTCTTGTGATTTGTGGGGTAACTTAGAGAGAGGTTTGAACATTTACATGCCAAAGCCTTGTCCACATGCACCAAATGTGTGAAGCCAATTTATAGTGTCCCCAGTTCATATTCTACAGAAATATTGTTCCAAGTGGCATCACAAGAACACTCACTTCCTCAATCATGATTTAACCTGACTAATCATGAACGTAAGATAGACTTGGCTATGTACTTTACAATGTTTCTGATGATATTTTACTGTTTCAGATTATCACACACCTGTTCGACAGGGCACAAACTTCCAGCGGCGGACGGCCAGGTCCCCCGCATCCTACATTCCTCATCAAGTTAGTGGCAATGTCATCCCCAACACCATGGCATCTCCACAGTCCCGGCTTGCTGGTCAGCCAGCCCAATATGCCCTGGTTTCCACCAGTGCCCCCGTACAGATGGACCGACAGATGTACCAGCACTACCAGCAACAACAGGCACCAAGCTCACAAGGACAAATGTCTCAGCTCAGTCAAGGGATTCAGAATATACGGATTGCCTCCCCTGCCCCTTCAAGAACTGAAACCACGCCTCAGTCCCGTGGCATTAATGTGGGGTATGCATATCCAGTGGGTGCTATGTCTAGTGCTACCAGTGCCTTGTCAAACACGGGAGGAGGACCCATCTCTATACCTCAGAGTGGTCACTATCAAAATTTACAAAATCAGCAGTTACAAAATATACAGCAGTCATTTCCTACCCATCAAGTCGAGGACCGGAACCCTAATTCACATGGGATGATTCGCGAAGGTAAATTGCTAATTCCTGTATATTAATGTCATTTGAACAGAGCAAACCGCTGTTACTGAGTCTAACTGCTTACTGTCCAATAAGCATGGTAAGCGTAGTTGGAATAAAACTAGCAAAAATGATGCTTAGTGAAAAGTGGAGTAACAATGAGACATTTTGACTCATATTTAAGATGACTATTTGTGAGGTATTGACTTTAAACTTGATAATCAGAACCATGGATTTTTAAATGTGTCGCAAACTGCTTTGTGAATTATGTCCTTTAGCCGTGCCAGGATCAACAGGAGTTTCACCAAATTGAGAAATATCCACAACTGTTTGTCTCCCACATAATGCTGCCACTGGATGAAATATGAAATATACAGAGGCATTAAACCCAGCTTACTCACTCACTTGATGATCATGGACAGAGTAATGTGGCTATAGGAAGTGTGTTATGATATTTCAGGATGTCTCAAGTAGCTATTGACGTGATGAGTAGATTCATTACATTCCCCCAGTGTAAGCATGCTAAGTGGTGCTTGACCCTGTGGTGGAGTTTGGACACCCTGTTGTGACGATTCAGGATGAAGTAGGGAAGTAATATGGATGCAGTATATGCAGGAATGCAGTAACTACACTAAGTGAAGAATGTGAAATATACAAAGTTCAGTGGTAATGATGAACACTGTAGCTATTGACCATCTGTTATTTAATAAATTCATCATAAAAAGTGATTAATATTCTTAAGTGGAATATTTTGAAATTTGTTCTGCTTTGTTTTAATGCTGAAACAAGGGTCTGGCCCTGTGGGGACTCTTGGTAAGAACTGGTCCCCAGCAACCCACATGTCATCATACCCTGAAGGTGTGGACCGTTGCTGACAATATCACTCAGAATTGAATATTTACTGGGAGTGTTAAACAAACAAAAATACAATGTGTTATGCTCATTCTTGGTGTGCCATGCTGGTTTGTTGCTGGAGTGGTGCTTGAAGTCAGGGATGTAGTGGATTCTAAACATGATAAAGTAGTTCCCTTTTGCAGGGGAATTGTGGAAACATTGTTATTTTGTTCAAGTTTTGGAAATTTTCTTTATCCTGACTCATGCTAAATGCTTGTCTCCTTCTCCTTACGAATGATAGTGGAACACTTGAAATCCCTTGAAGTTCCCTTCTAAAAGCTGGACGTAAAATCACTACTCACCCATGAGTTACCTCCCTTGCCCTTTGGCGCCCTTTTGGTCACCTGACCGGCCATGTTTTGTCACTCTCCTTCTTCGGCCTTGAGGACGGTTGTGAGAGCACCTGGGTCCCTATACGGCACATATCTTTTTCTATTTTGGACCTTACATCAAAATTATTGATGTATACGGCTTTTAGGATTGTATTCTACTATATGGTTTGAAATTTGATCTAAATTATACGTTGTTTGACAAATTTTTTCATCGTGTTTACATTTGATGAAAACTTGTGTTCGTTGTAGGTACCGACTGTCTGCGGCTGACCCACATTTATTATGTCCTGATTGCACTACTTCACTTCTTACAGAGGGGAGACTACGTCTAAGAATCAACCTTCACGAAGGCCTAGAGAAACATCTCAAGACTCCAGGAAGGACACATGATCACATCGGGATCGTTCACCTGTGCGCAGTTCGTCATACAGATCTTCACACAGAGACTCACGTTGTCGTGGATCGTCAGAGCGGGAGATGTCTAAATCAGAGGAAGAAGGTGAAGTCATATTCTCCGATACGGAAGTAACCTCATTGATTGCTAATGGCCTGGACCTAGCATCACCTTCCAAGGACACAGATGAAGCATTTACATACAAGATGTCCAACGATGATTTCGACACACTCACCTTTCCACCTATCGACCCGATCTCCCAAGTACTGGACAGCCTCAGCTCAGCCTTTGATAAGGCTACCAAGTTCCAGAACCAGCATTTCCCGACGTTCAACGCCAGGAAATTCCCCTTACATGACATGGAACCCTTCCTGAAGGCACCAGAGATTGATGAGGACTACAAGATCATCAACAACTCCCGCTATAGGAATTACAAGATAGACGACAAGAAGTTAGCACAACTGGATACGACTACTAGACGTACCTTCTTCAGACTAGCCAGATCTAGGGCAATCAATGAAGCACTCATCTCGAAGTTCAAGAACTCCACTGACGAAGATGACCGGATGATATATTCTGCCCTTCAGACTCAGAAAAAGGACCACCAATTTATGTAGGACCATCTGGGCCTGACTCTACTGAGGAGACAAAGATTATTGTCATCGTGCACCTGGAGTGAGCGGTTCACCAAGTCCTTATACAGAGCCCTATGGTCAGCATCATCCATCTTCGGAGGAGGGATTGAAGAAGTCGCCAAAGAGGTTACACACAAATCAAGGGAGGTCATGATGATGAAGTCCGTAGATACCTTGGCAAATGTGATTCGCCAGACGTCCCAGCGCTACTCCAACAAATCCAAGATTGCAGGATTCCATAGAGCCAGAGAAAAGAAGTATTCTAGCTCAAGAGGAGGAAGAGGTTCTTTTTGTCGCCCAACCAGAGTCCCCAGAAGTAACCCCGGAAGAGGCCGGGGTGCCAGGGGAACAGGTTTGGAACGACTGGAGTCTTCCATCCCCAGCCGTTCCTGTACAACCTTAGACAGTGGGTGGACGTCTTCAACGGTACTGGGAGAATTGGGGAATACTACAGGACGACTACGTATCCCAGATACTATGCAGAGTGTACAAGATACAGTTGGAAGCCACCCAGCCGCTTACAAGCAACCCGATGGCCTTCAGATACACAGCCGACCAGACAGAGAAACTGGACGACACAATCAAGACTCTACTCGACAAAGATGCAGTAGAAGAGATAAAACAAGATCTCATCAGGCCCGGTTTTTACTCCCCAATTTTCCTGTTTCCGAAGAAGAATTCCAAGGAGAAGTTTCGCCTCATCTACAACATGAGGAAGTTCAACCAGGAGTACCTTCGCAGACCAGCAAAATTCAAGATGATACATCTTCCTCAGCTCCGACATCTCGTTCGTCCATCAGACTACCTTGCCAGCAAAAATCTACAAGATGCGTATCTACACATCCCGATACATCCAGACTCAAGGAAATACCTAAGATTCCTTTTCAAGGGACATCACTTCCAGTGGAAGGTTCTACCGTTTTGAATATTGTCGGCCCCCTGGTTGTTTACTCGAGTGACCAAGCCCATGCTCACATATCTACATCATCGAGGTCTACGCAGTGCGTTTTACCTGGACGACGGAATTCAAGTTCATCAAGATCCCAGTCAACTCAGACTGCAACTAGACTTCACCATCAAACTTCTCACTCAGTTAGGATGGCTGGTAAATCTCCTCAAGTCGGAACTGGAGCCGAAACAGGATCTTCAATTTCTAGGAATACTACTCATCACGCCTGTGAATAGCATAGTCGTCCCAGAGGATCATTGGGTCAAGATACAACATTCGATATCTCAAGCAATGCTCTCTCCGTTGACACTATGTGCTTGGCAAAGCATGCTCGGTCTACTCACCTCAGCTCAAGACATGACTCGCAGAGCGAGACTACAACTGCGCCCACTACAAATATTTGTGAACGCCCATCTCGACAGTCTGGATCCGCTGATTCTACTGGACAGCCTGAAACCATATCTCCTATGGTGGACTCGGAAGTCGAATGTTTGCGGAGGAACCTTTTTGTCAGAGCCGTTTGCAACACTCATCTCTATGTAGATGCATCGCTTCAAGGATGGGGTGCCCACCTCGACAACGAAGTAGCAGCATGGAAGTGGTCGAGTCAGGATCAGAGTCTGCACATCAACCTGTTGGAGATGAAAGCAGTGATCAACGCTTTACAACACTGGTCCAGCGTACTAAAGAACGCAAGGCTCATGGTCCACACAGACAACTCCACAGTAGCTTTCTACATCAACAAACAAGGATCAACAAGATCAACAAGTCTGCTACAACTCAGCTTTCTCCTGTTCAGCATCGTCGACGACCTGAACATCTACATGAAGGCATGCCACATTCCAGGAGCAAAGAATGTCATAGCAGATGCCCTATCTCGTCCACTTCAACCATCCCCGACAGAGTGGATGTTACACCCAGAAGCGTTCCTGTTCGTCATACGGACAACAGGATCTCCACTGTTAGACTTGTTTGCAACAAAGTTCAACAAGCAACTACCAACATTCGTCTCTCCGATTCTGGATCCTCAGGCATGGGCAACAGACGCTTTAAGCATTTCATCGGAAGGACTAAACACTTATGCATTTCCACCTCCAGCACTACTACCACAAGTAATACAGAAAATCAAGCAGACGACAATGCTGCAACTGATTTTGGTCGCACCCTATTGGCCAGCGAGGGTATGGTTTCCGTCATCATACAAGAACTCGGAAGTCCAACCCTGAAACTACCAGAGTGGTCAAACCTGCTTGTCCATCCACACACCAAGCAAGCTCATGGGAATCCGGCATTGCTCCAGCTACACACGTGGAGCGTATTAAAGCTTGCCTGAAGACTAGAGGGTACTCCGCCAGAGCAGCGAAAGCAGTAACACTAGCTCTACGCAGATCAACTTGCAACTTGTACAACGACAAGTGGCAGAGATTTGAACAGTATGTAACGAGGAAAGGCTTTACAGCGGTAAAAGCAACCCATCCTCAAGTGGCGGAATACCTGTGTCATCTGCGACAGACGAGACACTTAAAAGGTTCAACACTCTCAATGTACATGGCTGCTCTCAGCACAGTTATCACCATGAAGACGGTCGTCAAGCTGACCAAGTACCAGAGATACTGGCACTACTACGCTCATTCAAGTTGGAAGACCAACAAAAGAAATTCAAGGCTCCTGCCTGGGATCTCAACATAGTTCTACAACATCTCACCAGTGATGCCTACGAGCCTCTACAACGGACATCCTTTGAACTACTGACTCAGAAAACGCTGTTCCTAATCACCCTAGCAACCGCAGCACGGATGTCAGATATACATGCTCTGGACTTTGAACGAACACGATTTGAATCAAGACATCGTGACATCGTACATCTAGGACTGAGATGGGATTTTATTGCCATGAACCAACTGCCCGGCCAGCCTGACAGACAGTTCCACATCCCAGCACTCTCTACAGTCCTTGGGCCACAGGATACACAGGATATATCCTTAAGCCCTGTCAGAGCACTAAAAGTCTACCTACAAAGGACAAAAACAAGGAGATGAAAATTCAAGCGCCTATTCATCCCCTTATCTACTGAGATGCCCACAAAAGTTTCACGGACAACGATATCGATATGGATGAGAGCCGTATTACTAAGGGCCTACAAAGCAGCAGGACTTGAACCTCCACGAGCCTCCAATCCCCACGAAGTCAGAGCCCTGGCGTCTACACTTGCTCTGCTTGGAAACTGCTCGATGACAACAATAATGGAGGGCTGCTTTTGGAAAAAAATCGGACACGGTGTTTGCCAACCACTACCTCAGGGACATTGCCACCGAAGATGTCTCAGGCATTCACCAGTTTGGGCCACTTGTTGTAGCACAACAACTAACGGTTCCACAAAGGCGCTGAGAAAAATCTCACCCTTTTATCACGTGACTTGTGCACACATTTAGGACAGGCTAGCATGAGTGATAGACCCTGTACTTGTATAGGACATACTCGTACATGAAGAAGGGTCGCATCTCCACTTGATGCGCGCATCAAGAGATGGAGTTGCAATAGATAACTAATGGAACATAAGTATATCTAAAATCCACACGAAAATGTCAGAAGTTTCGGAAGAAATCTGACAAGTTGTGGTTCCCCCCCAGACTTATCAGAGGAAGTTGAAAAAAACAGACTCATCAGCAGTGCCGTCATAAATTCCCATGGCGGGTAATACAGGACGTAAATCAACAGCCAGAGAATCCAGAAGTGGCCTGACCCATCACTGATTCCGACGGATTCTGCAAGCATTTAGCATGAGTCAGGATAAGGACAAATATGTAATTTTCTGACTAAAATTGATATTTTATACTTATCCTGACTCATGAGGTCAGCCCTCCCAACCTTCCCTCTTATGGCACGCTGGATTTCCCTGTAAATCCGGGTGTCGGGCATACATATGGAGAGAGTGACAAAACATGGCCGGTCAGGTGACCAAAAGGGCCAAAGGGGCAAGGGAGGTAACTCGTGGGTGAGTGATGATTTTACGTCTGCTTTTTAGAAGGGAACTTCAAGGGATTTCAAGTGTTCCTCTATCATTCGCAAGGAAAAGGAGACGAGCAATTAGCATGAGTCAGGATAAGTATAAAATATCAATTTTAGTCAGAAAATTACATTTTTGTGTAACATTGCTTCAGCATTTAAAAAAATCAGTGTAAATTAAGCATTGCACATGTCAAAGCCTCATATTCTTTATTGGTCCTGTTATTAGTATACAAGACACCTCTACAAAGTTATGGTTTTAGTTTTGACCATATTTACATTGAAGATTATTTAGATATGTTCATAATAAAATCCTCCGAATTTGTTTTGTCAGATGATAGCCAGGAACCTGTGACTACAGCTGCAGCACACTATGGCTTCAGCAACTACAACAACAGCGGCGAATACTTTAACCTACAGTATGATGACAATTATCAGATCCAGCAGTACCACCAGGAGATCCGTAACCACTATGCTCAGCAGAACCCTGCCAACCAGCAACCTGTCCCAACCAGCATGTACTCCCATGTGGAACACATAACCACACAAGAAGTTCATTCCACAACATCATCATCAAGTGAGTCCTGTCATAGTTAGTGTCAATTTGTGTTGTGTAAGGATTGGGAAAAGCTACTTATGACATATACAAATACACTGAAGATCCCATTTTTATTCAGAAAATGCTCTTTGGGGATGTGAGTAGTAGTATCCTCAGGTATCCAAAGTTTTTTAGCATAAGTGTTACCCATCTTGTGAAAGAAATGAAAGTGAAACCAACCATGTGCAGGATCTATCACTTAGTTATTCTTGAATCTGATGGCTTCATGTATTTTTTATCTCCCGCAACGCGTTTTGCGGGGGGTATTAAAATGGACTCCATCCATGCATGCGTCCATACGTGCAAATTTTTAAACTTATCCTATCTCACGACTTGCACCTCTCTCTCTTCATTCGACCATGAGTGGAAACGAATTAAAACTTTGCTCCAAGGCCTACCTTGCCCCTCTCCCGTGCTGTGCGTGCCTTCTGTGTCAGTCGTGCTCACTAGTCCATGACAGCACGAGGCATGCACAGTCCTCACCCACGTGATCACCTCACATACTCATTCTCTTTCTTGTCGCTCCACTGAGTGGACGTGAAAATTTTTTCCTCTGAGATTTGCTCAATGGTTAAGCCTGTTCAGGCCAGTAAACGGATGTTTTGCGCCCGTTGTAATAAAGTATTTTCAGCATGGGACCCACACACATCGTGTGTTGATTATGTGGGTGTTTGTGACTGGGACACTGCGCTGTCGAAGTGTTCAGGTCTGTCTAATGAGGCGTTTAAATTTTACAAGCGTGCTTGTGCCAGGCGTTTGGCAGATAGGGCTAGGACTAATTCTGCGGGGTCTGGTCCATCTCCGCTAAGAAACAATGCTTAGATCGCCCCACCCTCACTGCTCACCGTTCTCAATCGCCCGTCTCTCCTGGCGAAGATTTTATGGAGGCTTAAATTCGGATTGCTATTTATCTGAGAACGTTAGAAGGCTTTTAGGGGAGCTTCCCTCACCCAGTTTAAGTTCTCATGAGCGTACCAGGGTGGTAATGACCGATATTTCTTCTACGCCAGACCTGCGATCTACATTATCTCGTAGGTCTGCTTTTTCCGGAACGATCACAGACTTCGAGAACTTCTAAGCATTCATCGTTGAAGCGGGGATCGGCGAGGTTGGAACGTACCCGCTCTCCTATTTCCACGGCTGGGAGGAGTCGTTCTAGGTCTCGTTCACTTTCCCGAGCCGGCTCACCCCGCCGAACCGGCTCACATGGCCGAACAGGCTCACACAGCCGAGCCGGCTCACCATGCCGAACCGGCTCACACAGCCGAGCCGGCTCACACAGCTGAACCAGCTCACCATGCCGAACCGGCTCACACAGCCGAACCGGCTCACCCTGCCGAACCGGCTCACACGGCCGAGCCGGCTCACCAGTACATCTTCGAATGGGTTCACCTGACCAAACTGATTCACGTAATCAAATGGGTTCACCTGACCGAACTGATTCATGTACTCGAAGGGGTTCACCAGGACGAACGGGTTCACATTCCCGACTCAGTTCACCTCAACATAGGTTTCAGTTCGACACACCATCAGCGGTTTGATTCCCGTAGTCATTCAGTCTCGCCTGGTCGAGGTGGTTGGCCATTTCGATCCGGTTCACCTAGCCGTAAGGTGTGTTTTCGTCAGAGTGATTCTCGAAGTCGGTCTCATTCACTTTAGGTGAATCAGGATATCCGTCTTGTCAGTCTAGACTCAGTAGCGTAATTTTGCGCACACTGTAACAATATTTACTTCCTCGGATCCCCAATCGTCATGTTCCTGGAGCAAAGCGTTGTCGGAATGTGCTCCCTTATTAAGGGCGTTTTTAGAGCATGTAGACATACTTGCTCCCGATGGCTGGCAGACAGAGCTCGTTACACTTCAACAGTTGATCACCCGACAAACCCCTGTTTTAGCGACCGGTATTAACTGCTGGTTAGATCCGCAGTTTCCCATGTCGGACGGTGATAATTTTATGGAGCATCATTAGATGTCTTCGTGGGTTCCGCCTCATCAAAGCGCTCTGTGTTGCCAGTTGACTCACACATCCGATCTACGCCGTCAAATCGCCGAACCGATTAAGCCACACGAATCGGTTAAGCCATATACTGAATGGATTCACCAGACCGAACTGTTTAGCCATACCGAATGGATTCACCACACCCAATCAGTTAAGCCATGCGAAGGATTCACCACACCCAATCGGTTAAGCCATGCCGAATGGATTCACCACACCTAATCGGCTCGCCATACCGAAGGATTCACCACACCAATCGGTTAAGCCATACCGAATGGATTCACCACACCCAATCAGCTCGCTATACCGAATGGTTTCACCAGACCGTACCATCAAATTGCCGAACCGGTTCACCACGCCCGAATCGGTTAAGCCATACCAAATGGATTCACCAGACCAAACCGATTCACCACGAATCGGTTAAGCCATACTACCGAATGGATTCACCAGACCGAACCGTTTAAGCCACGCCATATGTGAATCACGACATTGACTCAGTTTGCCATAATATTAAGACTGTTTCTTATCGCCGAAACAGTTCACATCGTCGATTCAATTCACAGCAACGAAACGATTCACCTCGGCCGGAACATTTCACCTCGCCTCACTGGTTCATCTGAGCGTTCTAGATCTCTCCATCAGCTGAGATCATTTAACCGGTTCGGATTACCGAACCGATCCAGATCAGTCACGATTCAGATCACATCGCGTCAACTTTCCGGCTCACCACACTGAACTGATTTACCAGCCGGCTCGTATCGTTTCACCAGGTCAAAAGCTCCCTATCGTCGAACCAGTTCACCTGGCCGTTCAAGATCAATGTACAGAGGTAGTAGCTATGTGCTTCACCATGCCGATTTGATTTACATGTGTTGTTAGTACCGCAGTCATCTAGAGATATCACGCTCGGCACTTGACAGCCTGGCGATCCCAGTTCTCAAGAGTCCTCCGTGACCGGAGCTCATCTCATTCAGATTTAATCTACCATCCGATCTTCACTTTTGATGAATGATTCGGTTCAGCGATTCTACCCTTCCGGTGTAGATATCAGTTCTGCAACCACCGATATGGCATAACTAGATACGGCTTGCGAGCCAGGAATACTCTCTGACGGCTCCGATGAGTCTTGTTACTACAGACTACTTTCGTAACAAGCGTTTGTGTATCCCTTGGTGCAATTGTTGCAGGCGGCTCGTCATCTTCAGCTCCCTTTGTTTTACATGATAAGCAAGTTTCTGGACAGATAACAAATGGATGAAGTTCTTGCGCATGGTACCGGCAATGTTTTGTCAAATAGCCAGCATAGCTCAGCCGAATTTATGGGTTGCGACTTCGCCCGGTTAACCAAAGACCATGTTGTCCGTATTTTTGTCACTTTCGTTATGTAGCGTTTGCAAATGGCGGACTACTGTTTGTTTACGGAATTTTGATGATTAGAGTGACTATGAAGTGCCCTTGCAGAATTCTCTTGGTCCCATGAATCGGATACCAAGTCCAGCCTATAAATGCAAGTAACAACGAACACTGCCATTCCCGATAAGAGTGACTGTGTCGGATTTTGACAGCCAGTCGAGAGACTGCTTATTGAGGGTGACGGACAGAAACACCCGTGAGCGGTTTGCCTAGTCAAGCACCGAGTTCAGAGGTCACTGCATTATGCAAGGATTGTCACCAGGCAGCGATCTACTACCTATATCACTCCACCTGGCGCACCATTATTTTGTTCGGCCAAAAGAAACGTTCCTGAGGTCACCGATCCTCACAATTTCTACAATTAATGTGAGCGTTCCTGTAGATTGACTGACAATCTCCATCGCGCCGAACATACTACATTGAGCACTCCGTCAGAACTGGCGTAGTTGCTTTCGACTTATTGAACGTTCTTATATCAGGAGATATCTTTTGTCAGAGGCAAGAGTGGTTAGACCTCTCATTTCCCTCGACCTCGCGATGGCGTGGGGTAGCCTAGTGGTTAAAGCGTTGACTCGTCACGCCCAAGACCCGGTTCGATCCCCACATGGGCACAATGTGTTAAGCCCATTTCTGGTGCCCCAGCCGTGATTTTGCTGGATTATTGCTAAAGGCGATGTAAAACTAAACTCAGTCAGTCAGTCAGTCCCTCGACCTGTGAGGCGCCTACCTTCACATCGGATACATCCAGACTATTGGAAGTATCTTCGATTTACTTTTATGGGCGTCGTTGATACCAATGGAGGATCCTGCTGTATGGGCATATCGCGGCCCGTGGGTTTTACTCAGATACCCATTCTGTTAACCAGCTACCTGCATTGTCGGCGTGACAATTGACAACAATATCGGCGACTGTGTTCAAGCCCAGCAGGATCCAGTCGTCCTTCCTTTCCACAGACAGTTCATCAACAAGTTGCTCCGCGAATTAGGGATGGCTGCTAAATTCGAGCAATCAGGGGTAACACCGACCCGCTGTTTCTTCTTATTGGGACAATATTCAACCGCCAGGTCATGATGTTTGTGCCCCAGGAGAGGTGGGACAAGATTCAGTGCAGCGCACCACTAGTGTTGGTCCAACCCACACCTTCTTGCCAGTGGCAGAAGTTACTAGGGTGGTTGGAGTCGGCACAAGTGCTGACTGACAGGGGCCAGCTGCAGCTTGCCCTCTTCAGATGGTTCTGTGCCCATACATCGGGGGCGACAACCCAGGGGAGTTGATTAGTCTTCCGCACAACTACATTCAGTCTTTTTGTTGGTGGCTCAACAAATGGAATGTTTGTGTTGGAGTCTCTAGGGTGCCCTTCATACCGACTCAACACCTATTCGTTGGCACATCTTGCAAGCTGGAGCTCACTTTCTCCATCAAGTGGCCTAGCAGTGGTCATCAGGAGAAAGGGCCCTTCATCTAGCAAATTGGAATTCAGCATTGTCATTATAAGCCTGTTAGGCACTTTCGGGACAACCATCAGCTTCAAGCGCCAGATGATCACCAGTTCGCGATCGTTTCTGCTTT